GTCATGCCTCATCAGGATTTTTTGCTGCAAGGGAACTTTGCATGTTCCTCGGTGTTGCTTTTTTAGGCTCCCCACTGATAAGACTCTGTGGGTACTTGCATATTGAACTGTTAGAGCCACAAAAATAAGAGCTGGATTACATCTGGTCTTCTCTACATGGGTGTACTAGACTGAGAAAGCAAACCAAGACCACCTCTTCAAGTCTGAGGCCAACAGCAGTGGCAGGTACTGTGCCACGCAGCCTCCGTGGAGCACAGTTCTTTACAACAGCTGACGTGGAAAAGGCCACGCAGGGACCTCCTCCCTTTGGCATCAACCCCTCTGGCAACAAAATGCTTTAGCTTTCCCACTGTTTCCGTGGGTGCTGCTGGCCCCCTCAGCCAAACTAGTGCCCACAAAGGTCTAGACTAACTTCCCAGCTCTGCCACAGATCTCCAAGACCTTGGGCATGTTGTTTAAATCCTGACCCAGCAAAACACTTCAGCACAAATGCACCATATCCGTTACTACACACTACACCAAAGGCAAGATCTGCTCTACCTGCCTTCCTATGGAAGACAAACTTCTGCATCCCCAGTCTGTAAGAGAGGCATAGAAAATGGTGATACAGGGATTTTTAAACACTCCAAATCAGCAATCATCTTTGTCACTGTACATATAGCATCTGTGTCTGGAAAAAAAAGAGCATTTGCTTGGAGTTTCTTAGCAATACAACCAACCAACAGCATTAGCAGCAGCCATTTCTGTGCCACATAAAAAAAGAATGGATTTAACTTTCTTGGCTGTAACCGACTGAACTGACAATGTACAAGCTACGTGCTAAAATTAAAAGCTTCCATTAGCAGTTAGTAAATATCCTAAGCTCAAAAAATGGAAATTAGCCTCATGTTGATAACAGTTACATGCTTAGTGGTATGTCCCCATAAATAGTGTCGTAAGGGACAAAAAGAGAAAAAAAGACTGACTTCACATTCAGAAAAGATTAAGCAAGAGCACCCCTGGACTAACATGAATTACTTATTAACAGATATTTCAATTGTGTAGCAATCCCCTTGCATCTGGATCCTGTATAAAGTAAAAATTGAACTTTTAAATACGTTTTCAGTTCCTGACTACATTAAGAAAAAAGTATTTCAGTGCTGAAAGAATACACGCAATAAATTTATGGGCACATTCAAATATATATTAGGAGCTGCTTAACACATATCAAATCGCTCCCCAGTAATAACCACACAAATGTGCACACACACACACACACACAGAAAAAAGAGCAAGCGGAATTATCTACTCCATGCTATGGCTTAAAAATTTTAACCAAAAACTCAAACAAGCACTAACTACCATATTTCCCAGGCTAAGCAGGAACTGTTCTTTCTTCTCTGTAGCTTCATAGATATTGTTCCCATTTTTATGTATTAAAAAGTTTGAGCCTTGTGCACACAATAAGAAAGGACAAACAGGTTTCTATTAAAAGCACTACTGCGCATTTGCAATTGTTTCAGGCATGACTTACCCTGTGAACTAAAAAAATGCCATAAAATCTTGTAAGACTGTTCTAAAAATCATTTTACATGCAGTTTTGCATGACCCTGTAACCTTGGGTTACAAATGGTTTTACCAGTCTGGATTCTGCAACTGGTCTCTTTCTACAATTATGAATTTTGATAGCATTGCTCAACTGAGAAAACTATGGCAGTCTTCTAAACAGCTTGGCTGTTCTTTTCATGGATCAGTGTCTACATTTGTCCTGTATGAATTTCTCCTGTAATTTTATTAAGTAGTCTCCATAATTAGCAGCTAAAAACATCTGGCTGCATTTCACATTTTAAAGAGGTCTTGGTTGCCTACCACTCCACCAGAATGTGAAGGTCTTGAACGTCTTTGTGTTCTGCCAGTAAATAAAAATATACAACACTTACACCAAAATCACATGCGGGAAAGAGACATACTTAAGGCAGACAAACATTCGTGGAGTACAGCCGGGAGAAGCTGCGGTCACAGCTTCGCCATGCTTTGCAAGGTTTCTTTCAAAGCCTCTGTTAAATGTATGTTGCCGTGTTATAGTAAAAAGAGTAGTAAAGATAACTTACAGGAGGTCCAGTTTCCCCCTTTGGACCTCTGACACTTCCCATTTCAAACATTTTGTCAAGATCTTCATAGTCATAATTATCAATACCAATGTCATAACTGTTTTCTGTGTGGTAAGTCTCATCAGCATCAAGTGCACCTTCCTGCCCTGGACGGAGCTGATTATCCAGAGAGAGGTCAGCAGGCAAACCGTACCGGGTTGAGTTGAAGATTTGCTGCTTTTTGTTTGGTTCATCTAAATGCTGTTTTGCTTTGTCCATCCCTTTGCTTTTAGTTTTACTCTGGTTTACAGGGGAGATCAGAGAAGGCTCCTTTTGTCTGCCTGCGTCTTCTTTGGTATTATCTAACGTATTTGTGTATGATCCTGTGGGGGTCTTAGTGACATTTCTTTTTTTGTTCATCTCCTGCCGATGAAGAAGCAGACTGACATTCTCCTGGAGTTCTGTTTCAGGCCGAGATTCCAGCAACAGAGGTTTGGCCTCTGGAAACTCTGATGCAGAGACATTTCTTGACTCAAAGTATTCTGATAGAAAATGAATCTTAGCAACATCGGTAACAGGAATGTTTGATGTTTCTTCCCTTCTATAAGCTGATATGTCTTCTGACTGGTTTTTCTCATCAATCATCATCTTTGAAAAAGCATCCGGCCCACCTGACACGTGTGGAGCTCCTGGCAGAGATCGGTACGTTTCAGCCTGGCGACATTGCTGTTTCACATATTTACAATAGTTGGCAGAGGCTTCTGCAGAGGGAATAATATCTAGCTGACATATAACTCCTTCAAAGCTGACAGAGTGAGAGTTCATCCTTCCCAGGGTAAATACACCATCCAAATCAAATGTCTCCACTTCAGAAAGTATTTCCCGGCTATAGTACTTCTTTCCGCACTCAGCGAATATCGAGACAGTCTTGTCTCTAATGTCAATGGCAAACGAATGCCATTGTTCATTATGAACACTATAACCAAAGTATGCGGGCTGCTTCCCTCCAGTGTACACCACTACCTTTCTTGGTAGCAACTGGACACCGAACTGCAGTCTACTTTTACTCCTAATACTGAAAAGAAAAGCATTATTTACTCTGTAAGAGTACAACCCAACTAATATGGTGAACTGATGCCCTAGATTTGATGGTATGACTTGAGTGATGGGGGACTCAATACGTGCATCGCTAGTTAGTACAACTCCTGATACAGTTAGACGAACACCCTGAGGTAACAGAGATGATGTTGAGGGCACTGTTGTCTCTGAGGGCTGTTGAACATCTTTCACAAGGCCTAGTTGATGAAGAACATCTATTGCTGTAAAAAGAAAAAGGCATACTGTTGATTTTGTTTACAAGCGCATAAATTCAGATCCATATAAACAAATGTAGGCACAACATCTTAATAAATCTGTACTTCTCAGAGCATATATATTCCACACAGCAAGGCCACCAAATCCCTAGTGTAAGGTACACCAACCTTTCACATAAACAAATAATTAAAGCCAGAACAAAATTTCTGTCTTTAAAAAAAAGAAAAACACATAGAAAGGTCCATATAATGCCCATTGTAGGTTAGTTCATTTATGAAACCGAAAAATCCCCATTTGCTGTCTTCAACTTTTTGCAGTAGCAGTCAATGAACACACTTTGTTAGTTCCTTATTTTTCTGGCTAATCCTGCCTACTCTTTGCGCAGATAATTTTTTTTTTAACTTAAACTTTTTCTTCTGCAATAAAACCACAATTTTCCTCTTTATCAGAAAAGTTTAAAGTGTTTCGGAGGAGGGTTGCTTTGTTTTTAAGAAGAGACAAGTTATATATAACACAGTAACACCTCAGTGGAGCACCAGAAAATAGTCACTGGCTCAAAGCAAAATACAAAGGTAAGTCTTGCCGAGGAGCTTCTATGAGCTGCAGAAGTAATTCAACTGGTACCCAGGAAGAATTGCTGTGCTTTCACCAGAAAGCTTTCCTCCTGCCAAGCAAGGCCCTGTGCCATTACAGAGCTGGCTTCAAAGGGAATTGTTTTCCTTATGGGATCACCCTTGATTGTATGTATCTGTGCCAAAGTTACTCAGACTAAAAAACAAAGATCTTTCGAAGGGGAAACATGACAGAGCACGCCTTTCCCTCCACAGTTTACTTGTTAGGGCCAGGGACGATGTGAACTCTGCAGAAGTGGTAAGGAACAAGGAAAGACGAGACCTGTCAGGACCAAGGGGCAGTGCTCCCATCCTCTGGCTTGTCTGTGCTCCCAGCACACGCAAGGCTGCAGCTACCCAGGCAAGATACTCAGTTAGGAGCGCACTCCACAGCAGGAGACAAGCAGTGGACATTAAGGAGACAAAGAAAAGCTAGCTGTCCTACTGATTTATGTCCTATAGGTTTGGCTTTGACATATAGAAGTCTGGACAGGAGATCTTCCTCCAGGCAGGAAAAACACCCCAGGCGGGGGTGTTGTCACTGTGGGATTCTCTAGTGTCTTATATAATGCGAGCTTTGTGCTTTAGCCCTTTCCTTAGCCTGGACCATACAGTATCTCCATCTTTTACCTGGCTAAGTGTCTTCACCTAATGGGTAGAAACACAATTATCTAGCCTCCTGATGAACCAAAATCATATCTGACCTGGGGTAAGAAATCAAAGCCACTTTTTTCCCTAAAGGGTAAATCAATGGTCAAAGATGACCAAATTAATTTGGTACTGCCTAAATCAGATTTAGGCATATTGGAGTTGGTGGGCATAAAGACCTTCTTCCTTCAAGATGAATATAAAGACACCGTTAGATCTCTTACGATGCAGGTGAAACAGAAACACTACAAAGGCTTGAATAGGAGCCAAACTCCACACCCCTAGCAATCTTCCCATAGGGTCACAAAACAAGACGGCACTTAATGGCATCGATTGGTAAAACTGCTTGTCTGGGTATTTGTGAAAGGTGCCACAGAAATAACTGCAGAGACTGAGACAAAACACAATGATGGAAATAAAAAACGAGAAGGCTGGGGGCTAAAACACATGCCATGAGAAAGGGCTGACGGAGCTACATTTGCTTGGCCTGGAGATGGGAAGATTTGGGGGAATCTAATTACAATTTTCCATTATCTGAACTGGGGTTATAGGGAAAACAGAGAAAAGCTGAAGAGTAACGGGCACGAGCTGCAACACAAGAAATTCCAGCTCCATACAAAGAAAAAGCATTCTCACCGCAGAAGTGGTTCAGTGCTGAACTGGGGGGCAAAGACATTGTGTAATCTCCATGCTTGGAGATTTTCAAAGCCCAGCTGGACAGGACCCAGTAACCTGAACTAACTTCAACACTGACCCTGATCTCAGCAGGAGGTAGGACCAGATGAGTTCCAAGGTCCCTCTAACCTAAATTTTCCGATTTTCTGCACAAGGGGAAACTGAACATTGTAGTTTTCATAAACAGCATTGCACGGAAGCACACACTATCATCAATTCTCCCCTAACTGGAACAACTAGCTGGACCCAAGCTTCAGTGAACTGCCTCTACTAAAAAACACAAGTAGTATCTAGCACTTGCACTGATCTAATAAGCCTGGCACTTTCCATAGCGTTTAGCTGAGGGTACTTTTACTATGCATGTTGTGCTTATATTAAGTAAATAATGCTAGTAAATGGCATAACAAAAATTTGGAGTAACCAAGAGAAGTTAAGGATTCTCTGCTATATTGAGAGAGAAGAGCAACTAAAACAAATGGACGTTCACTCCTTTAGTGGAAAAAAGGTCTCTCTTCCCCGTCTTCCCTTTCTCTGTTTACTGAATGTATTCATAGCAAACTTTAAGAATAGACAGATGTTGGCTTAGTTTCAGTGGTAAATTATGAAAAGAGCCTGAGATTTCCTTGAGAGTGGTTTATAAATTGGAACCAAAAGCATCCACCTGAATGCACTGTACGTCTTGAAAATTAATTACACACCTTGTAGTGTTTCTAGTCGTGTTTGAGATTCACGGACACGCCAAGATTATCCTGGCGGGTAGCCAGCGCAGCCAGCGCAGATATGGAGAAAGCATATCTTTGCAGAAAGTCGTGTGTACGCCAATTTCTCAAGATGTTTTGCCTCAGAGCAATTAATTTACTATGGCTGTATTTTCATCCATCAAACTGATAACAGAGGTCAGGTTATAGTAGAGCTTCGAAGCACAATGCATCTGCATCAATGAACCACCACACTTTCCCAGGACCCCGGTCCCGCATGGTCTGCACGTAGTTATGGAGGAGAAAGCCGTACTTGTATTGCCCTCGTGAAAGCTAAGAAGAAACACAGGTCCCGAGCTCTGGGCAATGCAAAGGTCTTATGCATGTAAGTAATACCCCAAGGCTGGAGACACCAGTCCAGCACTTCTGTGCACTGGCTGGGCCAGCTGACTGCACAGAGGAAAATAGCTAATAATCTAACCTGAAGTTGTGCCTAAATATCACATCCTAACCTGAGATATTTGGCAAGTACTTGTATTTTAAAATATTTGTAACTATATATTTGTATTTAAAAATAACAACGCATGTGATCTGTCCAAAGTCTTATAAACTGAAGTATAAAACAAAAAAGCTTAAACTGGCTTAAAACCAGCCAATTTAAAAATGACATTCAAAAGTATCACTACTAAATCTCAAACTGCAAGCAAAATTGCCAGAATTTTGGCAGTTCTGATTTGAAAACAGCACATTGTGTAAAAGTTATTAAAAAAAAAAAATCTTCTGAGAGCATGATGAGAAATAAGACACATTCTCCACATCCTGCAAACATATTTCTGCAAATAATGACAGGTCCTGAGAAAGCTAAACACAAATACATGCTGTGTGAAAAATGACAGCAAAAGATTAAGTATCAACTAATTATTCCTTGCTGACTTGCTGCCTGTTAACCCACCATCAAGCCAAAAAGCTGTTCCAAACTTTTTTGGCCAGTCATTTCATTTCTGGCCCAACATGTATTTTTATTTTATTTTAAGGCTTTCAGAAGCTCTTGGCAGTACACAAGGTTTTGGGAGCAGGCAGCCCTCTCAACTCTTCCTCCCAGCATGACAACCACTATTTTATTTACCTATCAGTAGTCAGTTTTCTTTGTTTACCCATGTCTGCACAACATCTGTCTTCACTTACTGTTCACTCAACTTGTTACTCCCCCAAATTGTAATGGCTCATCTTCTTGAAGGAGAAGTTGTTTCGGGTTTTTGGTGTCAAGTGCTTTCTTTCCACCTTCTAGGAGGACTTGAAAAATTCACAACCTTACTGCATCGTAACGGGAGGGAAAGCCTAAAACAGGCTTTGGTAAAAAATCTCCTGAGCCTCTTGTGGCACAAGAAAAGTCCCAAAAAGGAACTGAGGAGGGATAAGGGGATTTGGCTATTTAATCATTCCACACTCTATTCCGTTCAGTCTCTCTTGTTCATTTCCCACATTCCTCCATACTCATGACTAGTCTGAAGGCAGGATACTTGGGGCGCTCTCTCCATTTCATCAATCCTGTTATATACATTACTCACTTTCCCTTTACCAGCATGGGTGAGGGAAAGACAAGGATCATTCATCAGTCAGCTCCACCAGAACTGAGAGTAATTACTCATCAGGTCGCCCATTTCCTAGGTGATGCTGCATCTGCAGTTGGGTAAATTGAGGCACCTGGCTGCCACCAGTGCTCTCTGGGACACCAGCCCACGACTGGCATAGGAAAGCCAACCAGCTACATAGATTCTGTATGTCCTTGAGCCACACTCAAAGTACTATTCCCAAAGGCTGAGGCTGTATCTTTACATGTATTTCACGGAACACAATTTATAGCAGCCTACCAACAGGAACAAGGCATAGCTTCTCAGGTAAAGCATGCACAGGCTGACCCATCAGCTCAGGAGAGAAGGAATGTTAATGACTCTAGCTAGCATCTTCCTATTTGGCAGAATACTCTCTTTTTTCAAAATACAGCTGCCAAGAAAGTTTTAATAACAACTTAAATGTTAACATATTCCTAATGGGCAGACAATCCTGTTCCTTGACAAACTCTAAGCACTGCAAAAGGAATAGTGCTACCTCTGCAGATTATATACTGAGACTGATGGATACGCTTGAGCTGCTCTTTTTTTTTTGGAGGATGTTTCCGCAGACTGCTGTTCTCTGAACTGCTTTTTGCAACCTCGTTTACACACTGTGCAAATAAAGTGCGTGAGGGACCAAATTCACCCATGGGCAGAAAGTTGCATCAGGGTTCAACGCCTTGCTTTGATCCCAAGCAAGCACTTAAAGAAAATGAAGTCATGTATGGCATCTGTGCACAGGGGTGGAGGGGAGTTCCCATTCAGTCAGGCTTCTCATGTGGCTACCTAGAAATGCTGTTGAGTAATTAAAAAAAAAAAGTAGGGAAGCTCCTTCACCTGCTGGTGACTAAATAATGAAATATAAGCATGTCCAGACTGGAGGCTTTACCCCATTTCTTCAGAGCTCTGTGCACGGAGGTACTCTCACCTGAGAGGCAAATAAGCCTCAGGCTGCACCCGCTCCCCCGTGCCGCTGCTGCCCCGGTCTTGTAAGGCTTCACGGCCCTCGCCTGAAGTCTCCTTAGAAAAGCAATTCTCAGGCTGAGGCACATGAGAAGGGAGAGAAATCGTTTATTTCTTTGCAGAGGAGGAGGGTGGGCCGGAGGGATGAAGACAACCCAAAGCATCGCTGCACGCCTGTCTCCGGCATCCCTCACCTGCTGCTGCTGCACCCCGAAAGTGCAACCTGCCTCCCTGAACCAGCCCATTCCCTTCCCATCCCCTCAGGGCTGGAGCAGGGCAGGCCACACACGTCTACGGGTGCTGCCCCTCTGATAAGAACTTGGCTCAGCTATTAGAAAAATCCGGGGAAATCCCATCATCGCAGAAGCGTACGTCCCCCACTGAGCTGAACGCGAAAAATCAACAATCTTACCAGGCAGACGGGGAGCAGCTAGTGGAAGGCAAAACTGCAAAGAGAACGGGGCGGGGGGGGGAAGTAAAAAAAAAAACCCAACCCACCGACGGAAACGCGTTTCCCGATGAGAAGGAAAAAGACATTGGTGAGAATAAGTGTGGAAGGCTGCGGAGATATCCCGCAGGGCTCTAGCAAAACGTTATCAGGAATGAGTCTTGCCTTAACCCCGCAACCCAGCTGTTAGCGTTCAGCTGAGTATTGCAGGTAACACACCTCCCAGCCAAGGGTGGTCTATGCCTTGCTTCACCCGTAGGGTGAAAGAACATGGCAGAGAACTGATGCTGCAGATAAGAAATGACTAAACGGCACGTTAGCCCCCGCCGCTGGGACGCGAATATTCCCTCACATCCGGTGCGGTTGTAACAGCTGGCAGATTAAAAAAGAAGCTAAAAACAGGACAAGCCTATTTCCTCACTAACATCTGCATCTGAACGCAAAACCAAACGAATACACAATTTCACATTTTGCTTTATTGATGCCAGCCTAGACTAAGCCTTTATTATACGCAGTGGTTCGCTTCCGCAGGCCTAAGTGCAAAGGTAACGCAGCCACAGCTTGCCACCCCCAAGGACACCCACTTGCAGTGAAGACACAATCAAAGCCTTTTCACTGTACAAGGCTTCTCTTTTACGAAGAGCTTGCTTAAATATGTAAGCAATTTCACAGGCAGAAAATCTGAATAATTTTCAAAAGGTCATCTTTTCCAAACGGGTTGCTTTAAACTTTTGCTCTCATTATGCTGTAGCTGGTATTTTCTTTAAGTCACCATTAAGGAACTGAAGCTAAGGTCGCCAGTAACAGCAGCCATTTACTCTTTTCATATAGTAACAGATTATACGAATGTCCTGTTATGAAAAAAATTGTTCTCACCTTGTTTGGGTACTTGTGCAACACCTACAGCTATACATATCGCAATAAAAAGGAGAGTTTTCCTGAAAGGGAAAGAAAGAAAAAAAAACATGTGAGAAAATGTCTGAAGCTTCAGAACTCCAAGGAATTAGAAGCTTGATTGAACATCCAAAATCAACGGCAGGACACCACTGACTCCAGGAAGTCCTGGATCAAAGCCGTCACATTGTACAACTTTCCACTGATGCTGAAATGGTTTACACAAAGATCAAGGATTATGTATGCCCTCATATATAGTACATATATTTTACACTGGCTTATATTAATAAAGTAACTGCATCTGGTTTATATTTCTTGCAGCAGCCTTCAAATATGAATACTGCTATGTAGTAAATTTCTTCCTGGAAAGAAAAGAGAAAAAGTTACTGTAAAGAAACTATAAAATAAATGACAAGTTAATGCCTGTAGAGATCATTAGATACTTCGGACCTTCTATCAGTCTTGTGACTATATCCCATCATTTTACCGTAAATTAAAGTGTCACATTTCTGTTCCAGTATTACAAAATTTTGTCATGTTACAAACAAGACACGCTCCTCACAAAGTAAAAAAATCCCATTACATTTTGACTTAAAACCTCATGCTTAGGTAGAGGAGTGCAATACTGATACGTATCATAGGCTCACCCACTGCAACAAACATAGGCTCCCCTGCCACTTCATAGAGGAAGAAGGTGGATATGGATTTATTTAAAGCAAATTTTGAGAACATGAGTGGTGGATGTTGGGCAAAGAATACCTTTTTACCATGGTTAAAACCAGACTGCTGTTTTTTTACTCAATTATCACATCAGGCAGATTAGCATCTAATCTCACTGATGTGACTGAATCTTTTAATAAATGAGAAATATATTTTCTGTTAATGTTGGACATCCAGGCACAGAAACAGACGCACATAACAATAATAGCAACGTATATCTACTTAGTTCTCCAAAGAAATATTTCTAAAATATCAGAAATATAGTTCTGATGCTAACTGCTCAACTCACAGGCAAGCCTCGGCTCAGCTCCCTTGCTCATTAACGTATGTAACCTCATTGACTTTTCAGGATATTATCCGCTAGATTGATGAAAAGCGTTGGCTGGACCGTGCTGGAGAGCCCTCCAGTATCTGGAATAAACAGTATTTGAAAGAAACACAGTTGCAACTAAACACCCCTAACTTGGTGTGGTGCAACTTTGCCAGCTAATTATTCAGGTTTGCACAGCAAAAAAAGCGCAGGAAGAAACCCCTGCCACTTCATAGAGGAAGGGACGGTTCAAACAGCAGTGACAGACGAGTTCCTCCCACCGAGTGGTCACTGCCGGGTTGCCTTCAGCTCGGTGGGTAACGTACCCATAAACCAAGTATTGGTAATGCTACAGTGACAACAAATCATGCCATGATTTAAATATTTTATATATATATGTGTGTGTACGTACACACACACAGAGCAATATTTAGTGAAAAATCTTAATATTGCTTTCAAGGGTTTGCAATTCAAACATTCCCAAAACAGCCAAATGCGTGAAGCCCACAGA